CAAGCCTCATACTGAATTCTGCTCTACCATTATTAGCAAGCAGGTAACCTGGTCTTCGAAGTTCATCTCCATCCACTGGGTACTATGTTATCTGAGGTAAGGCAAAGCTGGTATAACAAAGAGACTCAATAGTAATACAGCTGTTTAAAGCAAAAGTCTAAGTGCTGCTCCATGCAGTCATTCAGGGACTCAGGTTCCTTCTAACATGATGTTCCACCATTCCCAGGGCTTTTGTTGTGTATGTGCATGGCCAAAGTCATAGCCATGCAAATGGCAAGAAGGGAAGAGAACATGGAGGAGACATACTTGTGGTCTTAAGGTTTAGACCAAGAAATCTAGGCTCACATTCTTTTACTTAACATTCCATCAGACAAAACATAGCTATGTGACCACACCTTTCTTTTAAGGAAGCTGTAAGTGTGGTGTAGCCATATACTTAGGAAGAAGGGTAGAATAGATTTTTTGGTGGACAAGTAATTGGCAAAATGCCAAATATCTTGCAAAAAGGGTTCATTAGAGGCAAGTTCAGCTCACTAGGCAGAGTGGGTAGCAGAATCTTCAGGTCCAGCTCAGAGCCTGATTCAAGAAGACCACTAAGAAAGATATTTCATTTCTTAAATTTATTAACAATTAGCATATTGGCATAGAATAGCTAAACCACTTGTAGGAGGTCCTCTGAATATGATAAAGGCTTTTCAACTATACCCTGGAGACTAAATTCCTGATTAGGAAACTTCAAATCCTAAATTACTATCTCTAGATTAAAACTAACAAACATATTTACGGGGTGAGCAAAAGTAGGCTTACAGTTGTAATATAATACTTAATGTAATAATTAATAAATAATAAAATAAGAATAAACTGTCCTGCATACTCACAACTGTAAACCTACTTTTGCCTACCCCTGTATATTACATTATGCTCTTAACCCATATTGAAAACATTTACACACACACACACAAAATACAGAAGACTAGGTGTCCGAATGGATATGGTAATTATCAGGGAAGGTTTGTTCTGTCCAGTTATCAACATCAAATATTACCAGACAGATTCTATAATTCAGGATTATATTAAGAAGACAAAGGGATTTAAGAATGACTGAACACTTTATGCACTTTGCACAGTTCTAAAAGTCCCAATGTCTACTTCCAGTTCCTCACTTCTAAAGAAACTCTGTGGTCAGGGGAATATTTCTAGAGTGGCCTGGATCCTCTTTTCGGTGTCCTACACTGCTCTTATCCCATACTGTTTGGGGATACCAACTTCCTGATTTTGAGTCTTTATGATAAATGAAAGTGGTTCTAACTTTTTTTGCTTCAGCCCTGGCTCAAAATATAGTCTTCAATCATTGAGTCCTCAATTACTTTCCATGGGATTGCATTATTGCCTGGAAGGGGCAATGTAACTGATGGTTAAAACAAAGACTTTAGATTCTAATCACTGGGGGCTGGATATCAGCATCCTTTAACAACTGTGTAACTTTCTACCTGTTACCAAACCTCCCTCTTCCTTCATTTCCTATATGAAGAATGAATTAACAGGTTCAAAGTGCCTGGAACAGTAACCGGCATACAGTACCAATCTATGGATATTGGCTATTACTTTCTCTTGACAGACCTGTAGATTGTGAGACTTGGAATTTTCTCCATTTTATTTTATTTAAGAAGTAAACAAGTAACAAATACCACTGTACTTTAACTATCATTCTTAATATGTCACATATACTACTTCTCCATTATGTAACTGCAGGTAAGGCGCAGGAAGCTGGCAGGTTGTTTTGAAATTTATGATGCATAAGCCTGTGATTCTGGGATTAAAAAAAATTACTTTTCTTTTGTCCTTTACCTATTTCCTGCCTTTTAGACATTTAACTGACTATCAGCCTTTTCTATATGAAGGATTATGAGGTAAAAAAGAGAACTGAAATAAAATTTTTAAAGAAAAAAGCTTACAGAGCAGCTGTTGGAAGAAAGTCTGAGTTTCCATATTGCTTGTGTATTAAATTTCTATACATACAACTTGTAGTCCTTAATAGCTGATTATTTTTCCTGGTGTTAACATATTATGAAAGTTCTGAGAAAATTATTTTGAAGTCAAGTTTGTTTGTGATGGACTTTTTGTAATTTTGAGCTGTGAGGCTGCTTACACTATTTGTCCATTGCATTTATGGTAAATATTTTTCCATCCTCAGACCAGAATCTGTATTAATGGCTAAAAGATATATAAAATTGAGTATGTACTTAATTTAAAAAATGACACATAGATTAACTCACCTGGTTCTATCCTGCAAGAGGATGAAAATCAGATAAGATATGAACAGTTCAGCTTTCTATCTTCCTGTACCCCTAGGCAATGTGGCTGCTGGATGGGAGATTGGGTTCCTGAGTTAGGGTGGTTCTGGTTTGCCCAGGTTTTTCTAGTTGTAGGACAGAAAGTCCCCATACCTAGGAAACACCTCAGTCCTGGTCACCGAAGGGGCCAAACTTTAACACTAGGTCAAGCCTGGGCCGAAACAAGAAACTAGAACAAACAATACCCCAAGATGAAGGGAAGAATTAGAGCCCCCCTTAGTAACAAGATAGGACAACGGCTGAGCCTTGACTCAGATAAACAGCCCGTAAAAGCAGGGTCAGAGCTGAGGATAAGGGAGAAACAAATACCAAGAAAAACATATCAGGGTGCAGCCCCCATGCAGCTGGGCCGGAGTTGACAAGAATGAGGAGGAGGCATAGGGCAAGGGTTGAGCCTTGCCTCAGATAAACATCCTGACCAGAGAAAGAGTAGGGGGCCCAGTAACAGCCTTGAACCTAATCAGCAAAAAAAAAAAAAAAAAAGAAAGAAGCTGCCTATTGCTAACTGCCACGTCTCGCCCTTGTATCTTGCTTGCTTGCTCTGCTTATAAAAACCTGTGTACCCTTACAGCGGCGCGCCTTTTTCCTTTCGAGGGAAAGGTGGCCCCTGCGCAGGTAAAACTTGGCCAAATAATAAAGAGTGTGTGATCAAACTCTAATTTCTGAGCTCATACTTGTGGGGATCGTAACAGTCACACAGAATGTTTGGTCACCTAGAATATACATTCCTCAACACCCACATCCTGGTAAGCTTCAGCTCAACTCCTGTCTTTCTGACCAGGGTTGCGGGTTTTATCACCTTGTGCTCTGTGGAGAGAGAGAGGGTAATAATGCTTCAGAGTAGGGGCTGGAACTCAAATCCTTGCTCTGCCCCTTAGTAGGTGTGGTGACCCAGAATTCCGCTCTCTGTGAGGCTCTGGTTAGGATGAGCCACAAGAGACACATCCATTCAAGGACCCCTGAGTCTGTAAATTCACTTAGGTAGAGAGTGAGTTAAAGGCAGTGACTTGCCATTAGGGCAACTCAAGTCAGGTTTTTGGCTACCAGACTTATAGTTCTTCCTGTTAATAGATCAAGCCATATGGCAGACTACCCACCTATTTTGGTCATTTAGCTACCACCAAAGAGCTTTGTGAGCCAAAGCATTCTGCTTACTGATGTCACTGCTGCCCTTTACGGTAGTTGGGCCCAAAGACCTTGTCTTTGGCAGTTAAATGCCACCACTTGGCCTCTGCTACTATGGGGCCCCATAATCCCATGGAAATCAGTGGGCCACTGTCAATGGTGACATCCCCTGCAGTCACACCTAGCCTATAAAAGAGAGCAAATACAGAGCTTTCCAAGGAGGTGGGTCTCTTCATGACAGGAGTTGGTTTCTGAAATTTTCCTGGAATCTAGCAGGGAAGAGGAAATGCAGGTTACATGTGTGAAATCCATGCCAATGTTCCTGTCTCCTTAAGCCTTGGATTTCCTCCTCTACATGATGCTGAGAAAGCTTTCCAGTAAGAGCACCCATGTTGATGAATTTGGTCTGACCTAGCATTATATCCATTCTTCTTGTTCTAACATCTTAGAATGAACTCCCACACATGTTCCCCAGGTTTCTGATGACACATGTAAGAAAACTGTGGCAGTTTTTTTGGTGTGTAAACTATGTTTTCCTGGGTCACAGTGTGTGCCTATCCTGTTAAAATATGCTGATATTTAACCTTGGTTATGCATCTAATCATATAGGGAGTGGTTGGGTTGAGTGGTTAAGGAGAATGAAAGATCCCCTTCAAGGCATCTGCCCCAGATAGGGTTTTCATGGGTATTTAAGTAAAGGGGGGGGGTTGGAAAAAAAGGTAAAAGGACTCATGGACAACATTGTGATGATTGATGGGGGGAGAGGGATATAAGGGGACTAAAAGGTAATGTAAAAAACAAATACAAGTAAAGGAAGGCTAGTTTTCTTGAACTTAGTTTGCAAGATGCTTCCACAGGAAAGAGAGGCCTAGAGACTAAATCCAACCATAGTTTTCATTCAGAAACTCATGCAGTTAAAATTTATGTTTAATTTCCAGCAATATCAACCCTCTGGGTAAAAAAAAAAAAAAAAGATTCTTTTAGGCCTGCGATGAAGCTTTCCATTTCTCTGACTGTGGCTTGAGCTGAGAGTCAAAAGATTTGAGATAGTCATTTTCTTTCTAGAAGTACTCAAATGCACTCAGAAAAATCAATCTCATACTGCATTCCTTGTAGTCACCATTGACTTCCATAACAGTCAATTACAACCATCTGGACAATTAAGACATTTGCTTCAGTTTGCACTTTATTAAAGTTGAACACAGGTGATTGATTGTAATGTCCCACCGTGCCGGCAGTGGCTAGCTTCCCATTTCCCATTGGCAAGTTACTCAGCACTTGTGCTCCAATCCAAGGGTTTGACAAAACCAATGCCCAAATTTCTTCTTTGCAGGTCTAACTCCTAGGGTTGCTCCCACTACCAATTCTGAATCAGTCTGACTGTACCAGAGAAAGTTGAAGAATATTTGAACACAGACAGTTTAATATAAAGAATTATTAACTATGGCTGGATGATAGGGACAAAGAGAACTCTAAAGAATACCCTAGGGCTGAGTGGACCTGGAGAACATTATACTAAGTGAAATAAGCCAGTCAGAGAAAGACAAATACCATATGACTTCACTCATATGTAGAATTTAATGAACAAACTGATCTAACAGGCAAAACAGAGACAAGCTCAGATGGAGAGCAGATGACAACTAGTGGACATGGGGTGGTTAGGGGGTGGAGGATTGAACAAAAAGGGGAAAAGACTCATAGACATGGCCAACAGGGTGGCATTTGCTGGGGGTGGGTGTAAGGGGACTAACGGGTAATGGAAAAAATACAATAAAGATTAAATTAAAATAAAAAAGAATATCCTAGAGCTGAGAAAAGAACCAAAGGAAGAAACAAACTTGAAAGGGGTCTCTCTCCTCAAACTGGGACTCAAACCTTCTTAGAGCAGGAGTGGTTACAGCCCACTGGTTGATGGCCAAGTTGCTGAGTGGCTCTCTACCAGAACTGGTCTATAGTTATTAGACAAACAGGAAATACTCTTCTTGTGGGCAGGAAGACTGAGCCTCACCAGTAAACCACAGTCAAGACTAGCAAGCATGTGGGCAAGGTTGACACACAGCTCTAGAGTGCAGCAGAAGGAAGGCTGGTGACGGGCCTGCAGGGATTTAGGACATCAAGAATCCATTTGCCAGCTGGGGCCATGAGGCCTGATGTCAGGAGGGCTGCAGTAAGGTGGTCACTGAGAACTTGTCTTTATGTGCACAGCTGGTATATTAGTTTACTAGGGCTATCATAAAAAAGTGCTGTACATGCCACTCTGTGGAAAGCAGCTGTGTGTGCACTTTGCCTGCCATAGCGCATCCCTTACAGTTAGAAACCTTCCTCAGTATGTGTCCAACGAACTGCTGGAGGAAGCCTTTTCTGTGTTTGGCCAAGTGGAGAGGGCTGTCATCATTGTGGATGATCAAGGAAGGTCCTCAGGAAAAGGCATCATTGAATTCTCAGGGAAGCCGGCTGCTCAGAAAGCTCTGGACAGATGCAGTGAAGCCTCCTTCCTGCTAAATTTCCTCGCCCTGTGACTGTGGAGCCCATGGACCAGTTAGATGATGAAGAGGAAGTTTCAGAGAAGCTGGTTATAAAGAACCAGCAATTTCACAAGGGGTGGGAGCAGCCACCTAGATTTGCACAGCCTGGCTCCTTTGAGTATAAGTATGCACTGCGCTGGAAGGCACTTACTGAGGTGGAGAAACAGCAGCAGGACCAAGTGGACCACCACATCAAGGAAGCTCACGAGAAACTGGAGAGGGAGATGGAGGCTGCTTGCCATGAGCACCAGGTCATGCTAATGAGACAGGATCTGATGAGGCGTCAAGAACTTCGGAGGATGGAAGAGCTGCACAACCAAGAAGTACAAAAACGAAAGCGACTGAGCTTAGGCAGGAGGAGGAGCACAGGTGCTGTGAGGAAGAGATGCTGCGACAGCAGGAAGAAATGATGCAGCGACAGCAGGAAGGATTCAAGGGAACCTTCCCTGATGCGAGAGAGCAGGAGATACGAATGGGCCAGATGGCTATGGGAGGTGCTACGGGCATAAATAGCAGATGCGCCATGCCTCCTGCTCCTGTGCCTGCTAGTACCCCAACTCCTTCAGGACCTGCCACTATGATGCCAGATGGAACCTTGGGATTGACCCCACCAACTACTGAAAGCTTCAGCCAAGCTACTACAGTGGAAGGAATAGGGGCAATTGGTGGAACCTCTCCTGCATTCAACCATGCAGCTCCTGGAGCTGAATTTGCTCCAAACAAACTTCGTTGATACTAATAAAATTGCATTGTCTAGTTTCCCAAAACCTGTAAGAGAAGGACCCTTTTTGGACTAGCCAGAATTCTATCCTGGAAAAGCGTGAGGGATTGCTCCCAATAGTTAAGTCTTCCCTGCCTGTACTACTCTTGGGAGTACACTGGAGGCAGAGGGCAAGGGAGGGGTGATATTTAACAAATGAATTCTGTGTGGTATATCATTTAGTCATATTTCTGTGGTGCATTCCTGAAATCTCATGTGATTATTGAGGGCCTGAGAGGGAGGGAACAATGGCAAAGTGGATGCAGTTAGAGCCCCCATTAATCTTAATCATTCCTCCTTTGTGTGTACACACACACACACACACACACACACACACACACACACCCCAAAAACCTCACAAGCATCCCCCAATGACCTTAGGCCCATCCCTCCATTCACTCCCAGTTGGGAATTCAGGCAAATATCCTCAGAGGTCACAGATAACATGTATATGGTTCTGTTATAGCCCATATATTATCCCTTCATGTCCTAAGGAAGACATTTTTCTCTTAGGGATTTTCATTTTAGTATATCTTTAAAAAGACTATTGTGTTAACTTGCCTCCATCTTTTTCTTGGGTAAGGACGACCCAGAAATAGCTGTTTTGTGTCTGATGTCGCTGTTCACAGCTTTTCTCGATAGGCCTAGTACAATCTTGGGAACAGGGTTGCTGTATGCTGAATGTCGGACAGTAGCTCTTAGCCTTGCCTATCTTAGGTAGTTATGCTGTGCATTTTTTAAATTGGTGTACCATGTTTGATTTGTCCCTGATACTTCTAGAGTTTTTCTGGAAAATGGAGCAGTAATGCAGCATCAACTTATTAAAATACATCTTAAGCCGTTAAAAAAAAAAAAAAAGGTGTAGATTGGTTGGCTTAAACACCAGAAATGTATTTCCTCAATCCTGGAGGCTAGCAGTCCTAGAAAAAGGTGTTGTCAGTGTTGTTTTTTTCTGAGACCTTTTTTATTTGGTTTGTGGATGGCCACCTCCCAGTGTGTCCTCAAGGTCTTCCCTCTGTGTGATTTCTTTTTCTTACAAGGACACCTGTCATATTGGATTAGGGCTCATTCTAATTACCTTATTTAACCTTAATTACCCCTTTAAAGAAACATATCCAGACTTCCGGCAAAGATGGAGGTGTAGATAGATACATTTTGCCTCCTTGCACAACCGAAAGAAGGACAACAAGCATTTTAAAAATAAGTAACAACCAGAACTGCCAGAAATTGAACTGTATGGAAGTCTGACAACCAAGGTGTTAGAGAAGAAACATTCATCTCTATGGGGTGGTCCCACATTTGGGTGCGGGTAAACCAGGAGGAACAATTGGGGAGCAAGACAGACCACACAACCCAGGGTTCCAGCATGGGAAAAGAAAGCCTCAAAACCTCTGGCTATAAAAATCTGTGAGGGTCGTGGCAGCAGGAGCAACTCCCAGCCTCACAGGAGGGTCCATTGGAGAGACCTACAGGGTCCTAGAAACCCACCCACCTAGGAATCAGTGCCAGAAGGGCCCAATTTGTTTGTGGGTAGTGGGGAAGGTGACTGAAAGCTGGGTGAGAGCTAAGCAAGTGGCATAGTTCCCTCTCTGACCCCTCCCCCACACACAGTGTCACAATGCAGCAAAGAGGGTTGCCCCTGCCCCCCCCCCCGTTAATAGCTAAGGCTCCACCTCTTACAATGTAACAGCAGTACTGAGACAAAGAAATATGGCGCAAATGAAATAACAGATCAAAACTCCAGAAAAAATACAACTAAGTGATGAAGAGATAGCCAACCTATCAGATGCAGAGTTCAAAACACTGGCAATCAGGATGCTCACAGAAATGGCAGAGTATGGCCACAAAATAGAGGAAAAAGTGAAGGCTATGCAAAGTGAAATAAAAATATATATATAGGGAACTATCAGTGAAGGGAAGAAAACTGAGACTCAAATCAAGGGTTTGGAGCAGAAGGAAGAAATAAACATTCAACCAGAACAGAATGAAGAAACAAGAATTCAAAAAAATGAGGAGAGGCTGAGGAATCTCTGGGACAACTGTAAACATTCCAATGTCTGAATCATACGGGTGCCAGAAGGAGAAGAAGAAGAGCAAGAAATTGAAAACTTATTTGAAAAAATAATGAAAAAGAACTTCCCCAACCTGGTGAAGAAAATAGACTTCCACAAAGTCCAGGGAGCTCAGAGAGTCCCAAAGAAGTTGGACCCAAGGAAGCACACACCAAAGCACATAATCATCACATTACCCAAGATTAAAGATAAGGAGAGAATCTTAAAAGCAGCAAGACAAAAGGAGACAGTTACCTACAAAGGAGTTCCCATCAGACTATCAGCTAATTTCTCAAAAGAAACCTTATGGGCAAGCAGGGGCTGGAAAGAAGTGTTCAAAGGCATGAAAGGCAAGGACCTACATCCAAGATTACTCTATCCAGCAAAGCTGTCATTCAGAGCAGAAGGAAATCTAAACTGCTTCTCAGATCAGGTCAAGTTAAAGGAGTTCATCATCACCAAGCCCGTATTATATGAAATGTTAAAGGGACTTATCTAAGAAAAAGAAGATCAAAACTGTGAACACTGAAATGATAACAAACTCACAACTATCAACAACTGAAACTGGAAATAAAACAAAAACTAAGCAAACAGATAAAACAGGAATAGAATCACAGAAATGGAGATCACAGGAAGTGTTATCAGTGGGGAGGAGAAAGGGTAGAAAAGGGGGCAAAAGGTATAAGGAGTAAGAAGCATAATTGGTAGGTACAAAACAGACAAGGGGAGGTTAATAATAGTACAGGAAATGGAGAAGCCAAAGAACTTATATACAAAACCCATGGACATGAATTAAGGTGGCGGGGGGAATGCTGGTGGGAAGGGGTGCAGGGTGGAGGGAAATGAAGGGGAGAAAAAAAGTGGGACAACTGTAATAGCATAATCAATAAAATATACTTAAAAAAATTAAAAAAGGAACCTATATCCAAATACAATCATGTTCTAAGTTACTGGGGATTAGAGCTTCAGTATGTGAATTTGTTACAACTGCTGGGGAGGAGCATTACTGGATGTCCCCACAAATGCTACCAACAGCTGCCTGTAGATGCAAGAAGCAAATAGAAACACCCGAAATCAGGGAGAGGAACCCCTTCCTCCTGCAGTGTCCCTCTAGCATGCTCTACTGACAAAACTATCTTGGTCATTGCCAAAGAAATCCTTAACAGGGTCCATGTCCATGATTGTAGAGCAGATAACGAAGGTTGAATTTAGAGCTGAGAGGCAATAAATCGATAACTGGTTCTTCATTTCTTTGAGCTTCCTGATGTTCTCCCCATAACTTGTATGCCCAGATTGACCAGTTTGCAACTAAGATCATTGACACAATTGTTTTGTTTCCCCCTTTTTATAATTTTTTTCCAGTAGTTGTGCATGATTGTACTTTCAAGTTATCATTTTGGGCGGAATAGACCAAGTTTTCCCCAATATTTTATACTTTTGATAAGTGTAAAAATCATCTGAATTTACAGTGTGGCATGGTTATGGACTATGGAAGCAAGACCAGAAAGCTGGTCTTCAGTTTGCTGTTTATATCTTCTTTATTCATCCCTGTTTCAAGGCTGAGACTCTTGTGGTTCCTTCTTCTTGAAACATTCTTGCCCCTGTTCAACTATCCAGAATTTCTTCTCTGACACGCTATCAGAAATAGAATACTTTCCCCATAACTCCTACCCTTTACCAAGCTTTAGTCTTCTTTATAACAATTTTACCACTATATCGTTATATTATTTTAAACACTATATATATTTACTACATTTATTCTATGCATTTACTTATTTGTTATTAAAATGCAAACTCCAAGAAGGTAGGGACACAACTTTTTCACTGAAAGATATCCTCAGAACCTAGATCATTGTATGGCATATAATAGGTATTTGATAAATATTGATGATATGAACGTAGGTGTCAAAAAATGGGTGGCTTTTCTGGAATATAAGTCTGTATGTAGACATATCTACAGCAATAGAACTTTAACTCCTAATTTAATTAGCATGGCAACAATGTGGTTGCAATTTGATTATTCTTACTCCAACTTGAAAATGACCTCCATTCACTTTGTGTGTGGTATAATTAATATACAGTAAAATTCACTTTTGTATGTGTGCATACAGTTTAATGAGTTTTGAAAAATATATATGATTGTGTAAAATCATTGTAATCAAGTTATACACAGTTCTATTACCCCCCCACCCCCAATTCCCTTATGTCATTTTTTAGTCAACTTCTCCTCTGACCTCCAGTTTCTAGCAACCACTGATCTGTTTTCTGTCCCCATGGTTTTGCCTTTTCAAGATTGTTCTATAAATGGAACCCTACAGTACGTTGCTTTTGGAGTCTTTCATGTACTTAGCAAAATGCATATGAGATCTTTTTATGTGGCATCATGAAGCAGTTGTTTGTTCCTTTTTATTGCTGAGTAGTATTCCATTATATATGTCTCCTAGTTTGTTTACACTTCACCAGTTGAAGAACATTTTGGATTTTTTTCCAGTTTGGGTTGATTATGAATCAAGCTGCTATAGATATTCATGTGCAGATTTTTGTGTGAAATTAACTTTTTTCCCCCCTTGGGTAAATACGGCAAATGCATAGTTATTGAATACAAAACTGACAAACTATTTTCCAAAGTGGCAACACTATTTTGCATTTCCAGCAGCATCCTCACCACCATTTGTTATAAGGTGGCACAGTCATAGAAATAAGATCATAAATCTGAACTTTTCCCTGGAATCTTCTTGGTTTGTCCCTATTTCAAGGATTTATACTTGCTGTTCCTTCTTCATGGAACACATTTGCATGCGTTATTGTACTTCTATTCACATTTGACTTTAGAACAGGGCTTATCTACACATGTAATAAAGACCAGCCAGAAACAAAATGAAGAAAATCAGGAAGATGAATGTATAAGTGGGGGAAAATTCT